CAGGCTTTCTGAGCTTGAGCGAAGGCTGTGACAGTCACAAGGCTGGAGGAGCCGCTTAGAGAGAGTCTGTAGAGTATTGTCTTTCCTCTTAGAGAGCGTCCTGTCCTGTCCTTTCTCTTTTCTTCACGTACAAATAGGAAAATCTGAAGATCTTCGAATTAGTAACTGTCTTGATAGAGCTTGTCTTGTAGATTAACTCAACACTTGTCTGTCTCCTTTTTTAAAAGACGTTTTGAAACAAAGAATTCACTGAGCATAAGCGGTTATGTTCTTGTTACAACAAAAGCTTCCAGACTTTATTGAGCTCTTAAAAAAAAAATGTGCCCTTTGTTATATTTCAGATAATTATTAGCCTGTGCTTCCTGTATCCAGAATGGTGAAGGGGCATTTGTAACTTAAGTTCATTATCATTTAACGAAATGTTTGCTTCCAGAAAGTCTGCACCCCATTTCTATCATGACTCGGTCTGAGTTTGTTTAATTAGCTAACATATACAGCACACACATTCTGAGGTAAAATCAGCTTTTCATTTTTAAATATCCTAAGATATCTTTGGAAAGTGAAATGTTTGGGTTTTTTTTTTTTGTCACGTTTAGTTTAATTTTAGAATCACTTACACTCTAAATGTGTAAAGGATTTTAAAGTTACCACCTCTTACAGGTGCATATATATGATATATATATACACACACATGCGCACTAGGAAAAAAGCAGTCACTTGAATAAACCAACTGTGTGTGACTGGGTTTTTCACTTCCTCTGTACATCTTTGACTTTAATTTAAAATGTTTTGGTTCCTCCTTTGTTTTTTGTTACTGTTTCATTAGGGTTTTTCATTAGTGGTCATTATAAATCATTTTTGCCTGCAGAATATAAATATATACATATGACAGTTCCTAAAATGTTCCTAAATGGCATTAGTCTAATCAAATGTATGATTAATAATGGGACCATTATTATAAGAATTTTGAGCCGGGCGGTGGTGGCACACGCCTTTAATCTCAGCACTTGGGAGGCAGAGCCAGGCGGATCACTGTGAGTTCGAGGCCAGTCTGGGCTACCAAGTGAGTTCCAGGATAGGCACAAAGCTACACAGAGAAACCCTGTGTCTAAAAACAAAACAAAAAAAAAAAGAATTTTGAAAGAAATTTTAGGCACAAATGTTTCTTTATTTTTAAAAGGAAGAACCACAGGTACAGGAAGTTAAGTGCATCCCTTGGTTTGGCTTATAGTATTTTAACGTCACTGGTCCAACCAGGTGTGCTGATGCACACCTCTAATACCAGCTGTAAGGAGATGCAGGCAAGAGGATAAGGAGTCCAGAGACATCCTCAGCTATCTGGAGAATTTGAGGTCAGCCTGGGCACCCTGAGATCCTGTCTCAGGAAAAGAACAAGGACAGTGTGTGCACTCCAACCATATATACAGAGGACAGAAAAGTGGTTACAATGGTCCTTTGAAAGTTGTTGTGTTGTTATGTTTATTAGATACTTTCTTAGGCTGAAAAACTGTATATTCAGTCAGGAATATTTTGGTTTTGGGAAAGCAATACTGAGGGCTAAAGTTATCTGATAAGAAAACTAACATAGTAGTATAATATACTTGAAGAAAAACAAAAACCAGCACACTCTCTCTAAGCCTTCAGTGGAAAAAAATTACAAACTACAGCTGACTTTGTAGCCTTTCTTCTGCCTTAGATACTACTTCTTGAGTACTTTCTTTGAGCTACTTAGTTTTCTAAAGGCCAGTCAAAGGCAGCCATATACAAACAGAGGCTTTTGACCAATACACTGAATGGACTATCCTAGAGTAAATAGTTGAGACTACAAATGACAGAATTTGCCTTTAACCAAGTAAAGTAAAAAACCAAGTAAACCAAGAGTTGAAAAAAATCTTTAGTGACCCTGAGTGTGGTCATTAAATGCCTGTATGTGTAAAGTACTGTTTTGAAAATGTTCTTTGAGACAATGTTTTATTAATTTAGCTCAGGCTGGTCTTGAACTCAACATATAGCCCAGGGTAGCCTCAAACTTGTGATCTGTCTGCCTCCATCTCACTAGTGCTGGGATTGTGGGCGACACCACATTCATCTGAGCGTTATTATTCTTGATGCTCTAATGGGTTCAAAAGACTGGAGCCATGTCCCAGTGCTTGGAGTGTGCACAAAAAACCTTAGCACTCCCTGTCTCCCTGCACTCTTATGAGCTCTGCCAGGGCTTTGTCTCTCCATCTTCTGCAGTTTCTAGAATTGTGTGTTTGTTTGTTTTGTTTTTCAAGACAGGGTTTCTCTGTGTAGCTTTGCACCTTTCCTGGAACTCACTCTGTAGCCCAGGCTGGGCCTCGAACTCACAGAGATCCGCCTACCTCTGCATCCCGAGTGCTGGGATTAAAAGCGTGCGCCACCACTGCCCAGCTAGAATATTCTTTAATGTAAATATTTGTGGATCCCACCAAAATGGACAATAGTAAAGTTGATTTTCGGCTGCACCGAGTGGGATGGGGGGTGGGGAGGGAAGGAGTTGAGATTGTCATGCGGGGGGGGGGGGGGTAGCAAGCATTATGGAAGCAACAAACACATCTGCCGTGCCAGATAGGCTGCTATTGGATGCAAAGAAGAGTTTGATGAGATAAAAAGGAAAGGAAAGGTATGCCCAGTCAGAGAAGGCCATGAGGATGAACTAAGGTAAACGCTGGATGCCCAGGTATACATCTTCTGACAGGATCTTTACTGAATAGCCCATTAGGGAGATGCCTCTCACCAGTGCTGTATTCGACGTATTGGAAACCAGGGCCTGAGGCTGAGAAGACTGTATTTAGGAGGCCAGGCCTGAGACACAAAAGCTGGTAGCAGATGGACAAGCAGTCTTTGACCTGGAGCTCTTGCTTGTCCAGCCAGTCCTAGAATTAGTTGTCAGGGCCTGGTTGGGAGGCAGCAAGTCCCAAGCCTCATGACCTCAGTTCAATCCTAGGGATTCACATGGTACAAGGATCCGAGAACTGACGCCCCCAAGTTGTCCTCTGACCTCCACATGAACACCTGCCCACCCGTCCCCCCACACACAATAAATAAATGTAACAAAAAAAGAATGTTAGGGGCTGGAGAGATGGCTATGTTATGAGCACTTGCTGCTCCTCCAGAAGTCCCAAGTCCTATTCCCAGCTCTCACATGGGGGAGGAGGCTCGTAACTGCCTGTAACTCCAGCTCCAGGGATCTGATGCCTTCTTCTGGCCTCCTCAGGTATCCACACGCAGAAACACACGAAAAGAAAAAAATGTTATTCTAGTTATCTAAATATTTCATTCATAAAAATACTGGGGTCACTAAGCAACTTTAGATTGTTAGATTTTTACTAGAAGAAGTCATCAATACAGTTACATTGTTATGTGTGTCTAATTTTTCAAGTAGCTTTTATTTATAATATGTATTCTTTTAAAATCATTTTTAAAAAATTTATTAATGTGTATGGGTTCTTGCCTACATGTGTGCACCACACGCATACCTGGTGCCTTCAAAGGTCAGAAGAGGGTGACAGATCCCCTGGAAATGTAGCTACAGATGACTTCAAGCCACCATGTGGATGCTGGGACCTGAACCCACGTCCTGCACAAGAGCAGCTCACTAACAATCTCTCCCACCCTGTGATACATCTTCTATCTTGTCTCTGTGGTTGCCTTAGTTGGGACCTTCACAAATGCTGGATTCTGTGACAGGTAGGGTGATAAGGGGACTGAAACTGGGTAAAAGAATACAACTTACTCCAAGTTTTTTTTTTTTTAAAGATTGATTTATTTATGTGTGTGAGTGTTCTGTCTGCCTGTACATCTTCATGACAGAAGAGGTCATCAGATCTCCTTGTAGATGGTTCTGAGCTGCCACCATGTGGTTGCTGGGAATTGAACTCAGGAAATCTGGAAGAGCAACCATTGAGCCATCTCTCCAGCCCCACTCTGAGTTTTTACTGAGCTGCTCCACCATACTGGTTATTTGAATTTTTACAGCTGGTTTGGCAAAGTTGACGGGTGACTACCTACCTGCACTCCTTCCACTGAATTTATCCACCTTGGCGAGTGAGTGATGCTTCCTAAGACAGAGGACAACCAGAGTACTCCTTCAACTCAGCCGTGTTCTCCAGTGCACAGAGCCTGGCGTGGCGGCACACATCCATAGTCCTCTCTACTCAGGAGATGAGGCAGGGGGATCGCTTGAGCCTAGAGTTCCATCTTAACAAATGGACAGACATAAACCGGTTCACACACAGCTCAGCTGTTATTGCTTCTTGTATGCCATTAAGAAAGAGGGCTTGCTTACTCTTGGGGCCTGCTTGTCAGCAGCAAGATTCTCAGTGACCCCAGCCCCTCTACAAAAGCCATAAATAAGTAACATACAGCCAAATGGATGTCCAACTAGAATGCTAATCCACCTTGCAGTTAAAAGGAAATAAAACACTAAACTGCTTTAAAACCATGGACTCTAAAGTTGAGTTTCAGACTTTTTCCTGGAAGTAGGAAGACCAGTGTAGTAAATTTAAAAAATGCAAGAGCTCCTGAATTTGACATAGAGTTCCTGGTGCTCACTAAGCTACACAGGAACTCTCAAGTCTTTGACTCAGAAATTGAGAGACTGTCCCAGTCGAGAGTTTTCCTTTCTTGATCTGGAGAGTTGGCTCAGTGGCTAAGAGCACTGGCTGCACTTGCAGAAGACTCAAGTTTGATTCCCGGCACCCCACGTGTTGGCTTGTAAGCATTTGTAAGGGAGTGTACAAGATCTGACGCCCTCTTCTGGCCTTTGTGGGCATTGCTTGCTTGTGGTGTGTAGATAACGCATGCAGCCAAAAAAAAAAAAAAAAAAGTCATATGTGCACCCCTACACAGAAAGTAATGTCTTTTAATTAAAAAAAAAAAAAAAAAAGCCTTTCTTGACGTCCTCTTCCCAGCCTCAGAGAATGGACTAGTTCCTAAAAGCAGATCCCACTTGCTCGTTAGCCCCCGTCCTTGGGAAACCTTGTTTTCCAGGCAGTAAGGATACCGTGTGTACCCCTGGACCGTTCCTGCCGGTGCTCCTCTCACCGGAAGACCATCCTTCTCAAGGCAGTGGCTTTCTTCCCAATCTTCATCAGGACAAGCTTCTCTGCAGCAGTGGACACTGGAGCTGCTGTCGTGAACTTCGTCCTTAGTTCTGAGGCGCTCCCTTGCCCCTCAGTGGCCACTCTCTGCTCGGTTTCCAGTGTAAGACTCCAGGGTCGCCCGTGGTGTGGTCTCACTACATGTGCCCACTTCCTTGATTGTCTTCTGCATTCTGTGCTTTTTTTTTTTTAAATCTTTATTTAAAAGATTTATCTGGATCACTGGATTTTTCCAGGTCTTTCTCTGAGACAGGGTTTTCTGTGTAGCCCTGGCTGTCCTGGAACTCACTCTCTTGACCAGGCTGGCCTCAAGATCTCACAGAGTTCTTGGTTCTCAGAGAGATCCACCTGCCTCTGCCTCCTGAGTGCTGGGATTAAAGGTGTGCGCCACCACGTCCAGTTTGAGAAGGTTTCTAATTGCTTAGTGGGTTGCTCCTCGTGGTCTCTTCCCCAGCGTCTTACTCCCCAGGCCTGTACTCTAGGCGCTCATATCCCTGCAGCTTTCCCAGCTCAGCACCCCTCGGCATTCTCTGCTTTCCTACTGCTGGTCCTCACCCTGGCAGCTACCAGCTTCTCTTGAGTCTTCCTTCTTCCTAGCTCTTGTCCACTTTTCCATCCCTCCTGCCTTTTTTATCACTCTTTTTAAATCACTCATTAGGAACCTTGAGGTAGTTTCTTGGCCAGTTCTTTTTACTTCAAGTCTTTCCCTATGCTGTCATTAAAGTAACCTCCCAAAGTACACTTTGTGACATGTTGTTCTTCCTCTCCAAATGTCTGATGGCAGAGATGTCACATCCAAACCACAGTGGCATACCACTTCATGCCCTTTCGAGTAACTGTCTTTACATAATGTGTGTGTGTGTGTGTGTGTGTGTGTGTGTGTGTGTGTGTGTGTGTGTATGTATCTGTATGTGTGTATGTATATATGGGACTGACAGGTGGCTCTGTGGTTAAGAGCACCAGCAGCACTTCCAAAGGTCCCAGGTCTGATTCCCAGGCCCACGTGGTAGCTCACAACCATCTGTAACTCTAGTTTGTCAGAGGATCAAACTCCCTCCTCTTGCCTTTGCAGGTACTAGGTGTGCATGTAGTACACAGGCATACTTGAAGGCAAGAGACCTATATACTACGGGGCGGGGGTGGGGTGGGGGGTGGGATGTGAAAACAGTCCTGTGCATTGCTGGTAGGAATGTGGACCGGTGCTGCCATCGTGGAAAACAGTTTGGCAGTTTCTCAAGTACACATAGAATTATCGTATGACCTAGCAGTTTCACTCATAGGTACATACCACAAAGAACCGAAGGAGGACTCAGGCACTCACACAGCAGTGTTCATGGCACTCTTGTTCACATCAGCCAAAAGGCAGAAGGAACCCAAGTGCCCATATAGAGATGGGAGGATAAGCAGCATGCTGTGCACATGGATTTGGATCAGAGTTGTGGAAGGGACTGAGATGTTAATGCATGCTATAGTGTGGATGAACCTGAAACAAGTTTGCCTAAGGGAAATAATTCAGATACTGCCTGGTTCTACTTAATGTTTAGTCTTGGAATAGACAAATTCATAAATGACAAAAAGTAGAATAGCGGGGCTGGGGTTTGGTGGTTCATCGTCAGTGGTACCAGAGTTTCTGTTTGTGCTGAAGGAAAAGTTCTGGGCATGCATAGTGAGTGGTGGTAATGGTTTCAGCATTGTGAATGCCCTCATTATCACTGAGCTTTGTACTTGAAAGTATTCAAATGGTAACACTTTGTGATGTAAATATACACATACATATATAACATATACACATAATGTATATTATATATACAAACCAGCTTCTGACATAGAATATTCAAAATAAAAAAATAAACATTTTAAAGACCTATGGCTGGGTGTAGTGACTCATGCTTGTAGTTCTAGCTCTGAGGAAATGGAGGCAGGAGGATTGTTGCGAGTTCAAGGCCAACCTGGACTACATAGTTCTAGGCTAGCCTATACTATAACATGAGACACATGAGACCCTATTCTATTTAAAGAATGAATAAACTGTATAATCTCCTTCCTTTCTTCCTTCCTCCCTTCCTTCCTTCCTTCCTTCTTTCTTTCTTTCTTTCTTTCTTTCTTTCTTTCTTTCTTTCTTTCTTTCTTTCTTTCTTTCTCTCTTTCCTTTTTAAATTTTTTTCTGGGATGAGATCTCACTGTGTAGCTTTGGCTGGCCTTGAACTCACAGAGACCCACCTTCCCTGCCTCTCAACTGCTGGGAGTAAAGGTGTGCACCACCAGGCTTAAGATCTGTCTGTCTGCCCTTCCTTCCTCTACTGGGGACTGAGCCCCAGGCTTTGCACAGGCTGTGCTAGTGTTCTGCAGCTGAGCTGCACCCTGGCAGTCTGATTGTTTTTAAATCATATATTTAGCCACAGATCATCTTTTTATCTAAATAATTTATTTATTTTTATTTTATGTGCATTGGTGTTTTGTCTGCATGTATGTCTGTGTGAGGGTGTCAGATCTTGGAGTTACAGACAGTTGTTAGCTGCCTTGTGTGTGCTGGGAATTGAACCTGGGTCCTCTGAAAGAGCAATCAGTGCTCTTAACATCTGAGCCATCTTTCCAGCCCTCACAGATCATCTTGATTGATGTCCTGCATCTCCAACCTCAGAACTTTTGCCAAAACTGTATATCGTACAACTCTTCTTTCCCCTTAACAAGCTTAAAAGCCTCCCAAGGTATAACCTAAAAATTAACCTTGCTCTTCTGACCTCTTAGTGCTTGGACCTTGCTTAAAATAGCACACTTACCTTGCTGTGTAATTATTTGTTTGTCTGCACCTGTGTATTCAAGATTGCAAGCTGTTTCAGTCCTTTCATATAGTAGATGCTCATTAAATGTTCACTGAATGGACATGAACCCACCCTTCCCATGGAGAACTTTGACTCCAGGGAGGTCCAAGGTGACAGAGCCAAGAATAGTGTCAGGGCCTTCTGTTTTCTGTCTCATCCACACACACAAAGTTCCCTCCACATTAGCAAGCTGATACCTTGTATCGTAGAGAAATTTAGTCTTTATTAATATTAATAATTCTGGGCCTAGAAAGATGGCTCAGCAATTAAGAACATTGGCTGCTCTTGCAAAGGACCTGGATTTAGTTCCCAGCTCCCACATGGCAGCTCACAACTTTTTGAAACTCCAGTTCTAGGAGATTCACCACCCTCTTCTGGCCTCTGTGGGCACCAGGCACTCGTGCAATGCAAAGGCAAGCACACAGGCAAAACACACATGTAAAAATGTACAAATATAAGTCAGCATTGACCTGACACCAGGCTCTGTCTGATTCTCCATTCAGTGAGAATCAGGCTTTGTTTGCAATTTTATACAGATGAAGATAACTGATGTATTTGTGTTCTTGTTTCAGCTTCATGTTTCCTGTAGCAGGTGGAATGAGACCTCCTCAAGGTATGTGAGAGCTTTCATTCCTCTGTCAGTACTGGGATGGGACCCGGCGTCTTGCACACTCTAGGCAAGCACTCTGCCCCTAAGCCACATCCTCAGCCCCAAAACCTAGGCAGTTTTTCTGTTTCTGAACAATGAAGTCAAATTATCCTATAGTCTTAACTCTATATGACACCTTCTCTTAAAATTTCTTTTAGCTGGGCGGTGGTGGCGCACGCCTTTAATCCCAGCACTCAAGAGGCAGAGGCAGGCGGATCTCTGTGAGTTCGAGGCCAGCCTGGTCTCCAAAGCGAGTTCCAGGAAAGGCTCAAAGCTACACAGAAACCCTGTCTCGAAAAACAAAAAACAAGAAACAAAAGACAAATGTTTAATTTGGGGAGTGAAAGGATCACTCTTCATGTTTCCCAAACTTACTCGCCCGTTATATCAGTAGATTATTATTTAACCTCAGAGATGAAGGAAACTTTTCAGGGCAAGAATATTAAGAGCAAATGATGACACTGTAATTCTTTTGTCTTCCTGTTTGGTCTTCTCTCCTCCCACCTTGTTTGTGCCAGAGGCAGGAGCTGTTATCTTGTGCTCCCCAGTGTCTCCAGCACCCTGCCTACATGTATGGTAGATTCCACGTGCTGTTTGTTGAATGAATAAACAAACCTCTTTAGTATCTGGTGCATGCTTTTCCTGTATGTCACAGTCTTATTATAACGATGCACGTCAAAGAGTTCTGATATTCCCATTTAAAAGTCTTTAAGTCTCAAGCTAGTGGTAATATACACCTTTAATCCCACGATTTGGGAAGTAGAGGTAAGCCAATCTCTTAAATTTGAGGCTAGTCTGCAAATTGAGTTCCAGGCCAGCCAGGGCTACATAGTGAGACCCTGTCTCAAGAAAGACAAGTCTATAATTCTGGCATTTGGGATGCTGAGGCAGGGTTGTGAGTTTGAGTCAGACTGGACTTTATAGCAAGACCCTATCTCAATAAAAAATGAAAAGATTTGAGCCTCAGTTTTATCCCTAGAAATGTCTCTATTTAGTACACCCCATCTCTTGGTTATAGAACTGGAGCCCATTGGTTATCAATTCTAGCCATGCCTTAAAGGCAACTAGGGTTGGGGATAAAATTTGACCCATTCTGCTATAGACGAAAATTGAGGGAAGAATTTACCTACACTTGTCTTGCTTCTTTCTCTTCCCTTCTCAGCTCCACCGTCTTCCCCTCCACTCCTCTCAGCCCCCAGCTGCTTTTGAAAAGTGGCCCTTCTCACAAAGCCAGTGCTGGTTGGCTGTGGTAGACCCACTGGGGAAACAGAAACTCCTAGGTCACGGGGAGAGATGGAAGATAAAGGGCGCTCAGAGCAGTGGGAATTAGCTCACTCTGACTTTGTCTCCGTCAGCAGGAGAGGTCGGGTTGCAGGCCAGCTTCCCAAGGGTCAGTTGTATTCTTTTCATTGTGCACATGTGTATGTGTTTCCTAAGCGAGCTCTGCTCAGGTGTCCCAGATGTACATCAACTGGGTTACAGTGTTCTGTGCCTACAGAGTTGGGTTTACTGTCATGTGTGGTTTGTTCTTTCCATTTTTTTACTCTTGAGGTAAAAATGCACATATGGACCAAAGAAACCAAACAAGAAAAAGAACCCAAGGATTGCCTGATAGATTTTAATTCTAGAATTGGGATTTTTTTTTTAACATTTATTGTGTGTGTATACCACATGTGTGTTGGACCTCATAAAGCTCAGAAGAATAGTCATATTCCCTGGAACTGGAGTTACAGGTGGTTGTGTGCCACCATGTGGGTGCTCGGAATTGAACTCAAGTCCTCTGTCAAGAGCAGCAAGTGCTCTTAACCACTGAGCCATCCCCTCCATTCCCTGAAATTTGGAATTGTTTTGGAGGGGTGTTTTGTTGTTGTTTTGATCATTTAAAAAAAAATCTCATGTAGCATGTGTCTGTGTTTGAGAGCCACAGGGAGTTGAGGTGTGAGGGTAACAGGCTAGCCTGTGGGAGTCGGTTATCTCCCTCCACCATGAAGTTCCGGTTATGGAGCTTAGGTTGTCGGGTTTGGCGGCAAGCACCTTTACCCACTGAGCCACCTCACCAGCTCTTGTTTTGTTTCTGAGACAGCATTTCATGTGGCCTAGGCTGGTCTGGAACTCACTATGTAGTTGAGGATGACCTTGAACTCCTGATCCTTCTGCTTCCACTTCCACGTGCTGGGATCGCAGGCATGTACTGCCTTGTCTGGCATGAGGGTTTTTTTTTTTTTTTTTTTTTTTTTTTTTTTTTTTTTTTTTTGGTTTTTTAGAGAGGACTTTTGATCCTTTGAAGACTTGAAGCACAGATCATTTCTAAAAACATACACAAGAAACCAACAACAACATTGCCCACAATAACATGTGTACTTGATCAAGAGACAAGGAGAGAAAATGTAATTTTCACGGTGTATACTTTTATCCTTACATGTTATACCAATCCCTAAGTCACTCATTCAAAACTGAAGTGAACTTTAGGACCTAAAGGCAAGTGGGAAAACTGTGGCTGTGTCGGGCCTGTTCTGGTCATCAAGGATACTGCTCAGTCATTGCCTTTGGTATCCTTTGAGAGTCCCTTTTTCAGCTGTCTGTGATGCTTGGCTACCTTCCTTCCTTCAGGTCCTTGTGCTTATGCCACAGAAGAGCAACCACTGCATTTTCTGGCTCTTGTCTTCCCATTACTAGGCTTTATTTCTTGCCCCAGCTCTTTCTTTCTTTCTTTTTTCTTTCTTTTTTTTTTTCCGAGACAGGGTTTCTCTGTGTAGCTTTGTGCCTTTCCTGGAACTCACTCTGTAGCCCAGGCTGGCCTTGAACTCACAGAGATCCACCTGGCTCTGCCTCTGGAGAGCTGGGATTAAAGGCGTGCACTACTTGCCCCAGCTCTTACCATGATCTGACCTGGAGCGTTTTGTTTTTATCATTGTTGTCTCCAATTACAGCATGATCTCCATAGGGGGGAGCTCTGGTTTTATTCATTGCTGTGTTTTTAGGATGATGCCTACCATGGAGTAGACCCTTGAGTCTCTGAACAAATGACTAAATGAGGAGCGTGCCTCTGCTAGCTGTTAGCCTGCAGATGTAAATGTGCTCCTGAAAGTAGGCGGCAAGAAAGGTGGAAAGCAAGTGATAAAACAAGATAGATACGGTATACTGGTCTTTTCCTTTGCTGCTTAGTGTACATTTATTTTTTGAAATAGCATCTGACTATAAATTCTGGTCTCTTAACTTGTAATCCTCCTGCCCTACCCTACCCAGTACTGGATTACAGGTGTTTTCCACTATGACTGCTTCTGTCCTTTAAGTTGAATATTTGGTTGGTTTTTGTTGTGTTGTTGTTTGTTTTGAAATAAAGAAGAAAAATGGGATGGGCATGATGGCACATACTCTTCATCCCAGCACTCAGATAGAGACAGGCAGATCTTTGTGAATTTGAGACCAGTCTAATCTATACAGTGAGACTCTGTCTCTAAAACAAACCCGGAAGCAAAGCTTCTAGGCATCTGCAACATTGCCTTATTGTCCACACTAGAGAACCACACAATCAGGTTTTTACATTGCTCCTGTGGTGTTAAGTAAGCTAGTGATTTTGTATTGGGCTGCATTTATGACTATCCTCAGATCAGGGGCATGCAACCCTCAGGTTGGACACGCTGCTAGAATCAATGAGATTGCAAGGTGTGGTAAAATGCAGTTAGAGTGTAATGTGTGCCCAAGCCATGTTTTTATTCACTTACATTCCTTATGTATGGTAGACATTTACTGTTTACTCAACCCCAGAGGACTCTGCATTTGTTCTGCTCTGCTCTTGGGAATGTTTCACTGGGGAAGTTTGGGAGACACTAGTGTGCACGAAACTTTCCCCATGGCTTTCCTGTGCTTGAGTCATGTATGTGTCACACAGCAATGACTGTTCATGTCAGTGTTCTTGTGAGGAAAGGGAAGAATAGCATTCTTTGACATACTAAGCATTAAATGGTTTTGCCAATGAGAAGTGAAGTTTTGGAACAAAGTTAAGAAAAACTAGGAGTGCTGCAATCCCAGCACTCAAGAAGTTAGAGGCCAGCCTGGCTCTACAGTGAGTTCTAGAGACAGACACACAGACATACAGACATACAGTTAGAGGCCAGCCTCGCTCTACAGTGAGTTCTAGAGAAACAGTCCCAGAGACAGACATACAAACAGACAGACAGACAGAGTGGATTGAGCAAATACTCAAGGTACCATGAGTAGTACGTAGCCCATTCATTTGGCTTCCAGAGTTCATGATCTTTTTTTAATAATTTATTTTTTTATTTTATGTGCATTGGTGTTTTGCCTGCCTGTATATCTGTGTGAGGGTCCCCTAGAACTGGAGTTACAGACAGTTGTGAGCTGCCATGTGGATGTTGGGAACTGAACCCAGGTTCTTTGGAAGAGCAGTCAGTGCTCTTAACCACTGAGCTATCTCTCCAGCCCCTCATGATCTTTTTGGTTTTTCGAAACAGGGTTTCTCTGTGTAGCTTTGCGCCTTTCCTGG